TATTTTTTCTTACTAATATTATTGGTAATTAAATGAATGGCAGAACAAATATCAATATTGCTAATATATTGATGCGTTTACAAATGCAATTTTTTAAAATTATTTTTCCAATTTATTAGATTTTTTATTTTTAACAAGATGAATTGAATAGATTTTGATCGAAATGTGTGATATTTGGAAATAAAACTAACTAATACATAACAATGTGAATATACGTTTTCTTTATCTTATTTTTTGCGAAATAACTGCAAGTGCATAAAATGATGAAAAAAAAGAATAGATGTACTGTGTTTTACATATACCATGTGAGATACATAGTACTGCCAATATTCAATTTATTGTATTGGGATCTGTATTAATACATGTTGATCTCTCTCTCTCTATGCGAGGACACGTCAATAGGCGATATATTCATAATCTGTATAGCGATGTATATTCTAATATTTTCCTTACAAAGCATGTATTGTTTAAAACTAGAAATAAAAATATTGTTTTCTTCTTGAGCAATGAGTAACTTACTCGATATTTATCCTTTTCCTCTTAAATATCAATGACGTACATTATTGTTACACATCCGATTATTTGTACCAGTTTTTTCATTTTCTCTGTACCTTGTGTTTTGTAACATATCTGTCTCTTATTTTTATTATTTTGCGTTATCTTATATAACTATACAAGAATGCATTTCACATTTATAAATAATTGTTTCTGTAAAACTTTGCGTTTTATTTTGATAACAATTGTGATTGTACATTCGTACGATACAGGAGAAAGTACAGTTGACGAAGTGATAAGATCTGTCGACAAATATGGTTTTTATCACACTGTGGCGTTCAAGCATCATAATTATGTTGCGATGGAGAAGTACCTGATGGAGTTAAGAACCAATTATCCCAATATCACGAGACTCTACAGCATAGGATCCTCCGTGCAGGGTCGCGAGTTGTACGTTATGGAAATTACGAAGAATCCTGGTATCCACGATCCTGAAAAACCAGAGATGAAATACGTTGGAAATATGCACGGAAACGAAGTAGTCGGCAGGGAAATGTTGCTATTATTATTGAGATATCTCTGCGAAAACTACGGCACTGACGAGAGAGTCACACGAATAGTAGAGACTGTCAGACTTCACATATTACCGAGCATGAACCCCGACGGATATGAGATTTCGAAAGAAGGTGATGTCTATGGTGCAAAAGGCAGAGCGAATGCAATGGGTGTAGATCTCAATAGAAACTTCCCTGATCATTACGAAATCAACGACGTACGTTTCCCAATATATTTCTTTTTTGTTTACATTATACATATTGATTCATTTATTATTTTATTTTAATATATTAATTAAATATCTCATTTTGAATGAAATTATTTGAAAGGAGAGTACATACAATATAATTGATATGTACATATAATATAATTTTCGCTTAACTTTTTATATATTTGTCTTGAAAAAAAAGATAAGAGTTCACATAAATATAAGAAAATACAAGTCTCATTTAGATTTTTACTCTAGGAATTGTAATAAATTTAAATATATGCGGAATATTTATATTCCGCATATCGTTTAATGACTTGTGTAAATTAAAACAGTCTGCCCTTACTCGATTGTATTTTTAGTACAATCGGCATCAACAACCCGAGACCAAAGCGATAATGGATTGGATAGCGAGAATCCCATTTGTACTCTCCGCTAATCTTCATGGAGGAGCGTTAGTTGCGAATTATCCTTATGACAATGGACCGGAGGAATTGGCATCTAATGTAATGGCGAACCTAAGTCCGGACAATGATGTCTTTCAAATGCTGGCGTTGACATATTCTAACGCTCATCCTCGCATGCATCTCGGTGAGCCATGTCCGCCGATAGTAAATGAAGTTTATGGCACAAAGACGCTTCTCGAGGAACGTTTTCCCGATGGTATAACAAACGGTGCTGCCTGGTACTCCGTACCTGGTGGCATGCAGGATTATAATTACTTGCATAGCAATGACTTCGAGATCACTCTAGAAATTGGATGCACAAAATTTCCAAATGCCAGTGACTTGCCGAATTATTGGCTGGAAAATAGAGAGCCTCTTTTACGTTTTATTGAAATGGTAACTTGTTTATGATTATAAAAATACGCGCGTCGTAATAACTAATCTTAATACGGTAACCTTTTTAATTCACAGTCTCGCAAAGGTATACACGGTATGGTGAGTTCATCCATTGGCACCCCCATAGCTCGTGCAAAGATTTCGGTAGAAGGTATAAAACATGATATTTATACCGCTGAAAGAGGTGATTATTGGCGATTATTGGTACCAGGACGATATAACGTAACTGTCAGTGCAATGGGATATGAAACACTCACGCAGAGTGTCACCATACCTCCATATGGTGAAAACGTTGGGGACGGAGAAGTAACTCTGGACTTTACGTTAATGCGTGACGATCCACTACATTGGTATGAGCACTTATTGAAAATACAATATAAAAATGTATTCTGCAATATAAAATTGATATGTTTTCTACAAGATGGAAATCTGGACACACACTAACTTCACGAATAAATTTCTTAAATATCTTTTTGAAAGATGCTTCTTGTTTGAATTTCTATCACGAAAATAAATGAAATTAATTTTAATAGAAGATCAAAATATTATGCGTTTATTCAAGTAGTTATATCAATATTTATATTTTAAAATATACTTAATATATTAAAAATATTTTCTAGAAAGGTAAAAGATATTAAGAGAATCATATTTATACGAATATTTATTCCAGGTCATCTGCATATGATTTTGGATTGAGGGCAAACTTGCAGGATGGTTATTTAAGAAATTCTGAGTTGAGCGCTAGATTCAGCCAGTTAGAAACTCATCAACCTAATATCGCAGAATTTATAGCCGGTGATTCATTGATCAGCATGGCTATTCATTCACTGAAAATTACATATAATGTGAGTTTGAGTGACGATATATTATACTGTTTTATATTTAATTTAAAATCACATTTTATCACTTTAGGTGGGTTCACCCGATGAAAATAAATTCCGCATTGCATTAGTGGGAGGACTGTTTGCCTCCCAGCCAGCGGGTAGAGAAATTCTATTACGTTTGGCAACGCATATTCTTATGGGAAATCAAATTGGTAATCCGCCTATTCAAAGATTACTGAATAACTCTATGTTACATTTTATTCCTGGCGTTGATCCAAAATTTAATGATATAAAAGAGAATAAAGATTGTAATCCTGTAATCAAGGACGAAGTAGGAGAAAAACTGTTATTAGAGAATAGTGATGCGTCTAAGCGAACGAATACAGTTACAAAAGCATTTAAGAGAATGTTACAGGATGAAAATTATGACGTCATCGTGATATTGGGAGGTGGTTTCTCGCAAATCAAGTAATGCAATGTATAATGTTAACAAGCATAATTTGTAAAGAAATTACCTGTCAAATTCTTTCTTCAATTTTTATTTTTTAGTTATTCGAACGACGATCTAAACACGTTTAAAACACTCGCTGATGTTTATGAGCATTTAAGGCACAAGGAAATATGTAGTCAGTCGAATAACGATACACAGCGTTTAACGAATTTTATACAACGCGTTTATGACACGCCAGTGGTAAACATAATTTTTATTTTTTTTTTACATATATTTTTTATTTATTTTTAATTTTATCAAATGTATCCGCTTGTTTGTGCAGATAAGCATAAGCCTGTCGTGTTGCAAGTATCCACCTGCGGATTCAATTCCCATCATTTGGCGCGAAAATTTGCAACCGCTTATGGAGCTCGTGCAAAGCCTCACTAGTGGAATCCGTGCGACAATAATGGACAAACACGGCGTTCCGCTTCGAAAAACCATCGTCAAGATTGGAGAGAGAAGCTATGGTGTGTCTCACAATATGGCTTACTTCAAAATGATACTTGTGCCTGGAGAATACACATTAACAATTTCCTGTGAAGGATACGTCACGCAAGTATTGATGGTTCTTGTGCAACGGCAAAACATAACGAATATCGACGTCAAGATGGTACAGAAGGCCGTGACGCCGATTGATAATCATCAAGAAACACACAAAGAATCACCTAAGAAGTTAAGCTTTGTTAATCGCGCTTTAATAGATTTGAACGCGAAGTATCCGCGACAAACGAGTCTACACAGTATTGGTAAAACCGTGAAGGGTAACGAGATAATGTGCTTAGAGATCGGTTCCAATAACGACCAGAAATTGATAGGACGACCGGGTATCGTTTTTTCGGCTGGTATTCTACAGGCCGAACCAGTGACTGCAGGAGTACTTTTGCACTTCGCCTCATATCTCTTGGATAATTATAAACAAGATGATATGATTAAACATTACATTCATGATTTCTCCATATACGTGATTCCAGAGTTCTCTTCTGATTTTAACGAAAATTTCACGTGCTTGCCACAGGTGAAAAGCTTACAATTTCCTATTCACAATAAGCTCGATGAGGACGCGGCTATGATCGTAAACTGGTTTAAAAACTTAAATACCGTGTTAGCTGTGAATCTCAACAGTGGATCACGGCATATCGAAATTCCATTCGGTCGTGACTATGGAAAGGTTCGCGAACGAAAGTACGAGAGTGTTGACGAAGATTTATTACAACACTTGGCGTCGATATATGCCGATGCTAGAGCAGACAAGTTGTCTGCGAACACAAAATGTAAACTGAATTCGATTGGTGATAACAACGTGATACACGCGGCGGAAGGAATTGGCGGAAAAAGAGGTCATCCTTTAATAGATTACATGTATTTCAACACGAGCACATTAATGATGGACGTATATGTTACCTGCTGCACTACTGATCACTCGATTGTCGTTTGGCAGGAAAATAAAGCTAGTTTATTAGCCTGCATACAAGAGATGAATAAAGGTGTGAGAGGACACATCACCAATGAGGACGACGAACCGATCGAGGGAGTTGTCTTGTCTTACGACAAATCACCGCATCTAATTAAAAGTGGCAAATCAGGCTTTTACTCGATCCTGTTGCCACCCGGGAGTCACAATATAACAGCCATGGCACCCGGATACCACGCAGAGACCAAACTCGTCTCCACGCTCTCGTTCGAGGCAAAGAAATTTTCAAGATTGATGTTTAAACTCATACGCGACGATAATATCATGGGAATACCTAGACTAATATTCATCATGATAACGGGTAAGCCGAGTTATGGAATGTCCGATAAAATTCATGGAAATAATAGTGATTTATAATATATAATTTATAATAATGCAATTCACAATTATAGGTATGATATGCTTTGGTATGGTATTGTGTTTTATATGTATTTGTGCAAAGTGTTACGCTTCTGAAGCGGAGAAAAGCAGAAAGGGATACGCATTTAGCTTACTAAAAGATGGTGGTAGCTTCTTCGACGATGATGAGAAGGAGGTTGAAATATTTCGAAGACCAGTAGATGGTAATTATATTAATATATTTAATATATTAATATAATTAATATAATATATACTGCAATATTTAGGAGGGGGAAATTATATAAATTTTAATGTGTAAATTATAATTTCTGTAATTCTGTTTTTTTCTGTTTTTGTAATGTAGGATATTCTGCAAATGACAATGAAGTTACTAAACCGTATTTCGATGACGATAACAGTTCCGAGGATGGTAGCGACTTGGAATTTATTCGGCCTGAACGAGAATGGAGCGATACAATACCGAGACAAACGTGATAGTAAATATTTTTATATGATATACAAAATGATATATTATTCTTTATAATGTACGTGGTTTAGTCGATTTTATATAATTAAACAAATCCAGCTAAAGAGAAGTAACTTTTACGGATTTTAAAGGATTGAAATTTACGAAAGTAAAAACTAGGGTCCAAGTAGAATATGTACTTATACATAGAATATGTACTTATATTTTTGCTGCATTTTTTAGAAGAAAAAGCGCGAGTTTCTGATAATATATTATTTTATGAATATATTATGTAAAAGTTTGTGTAAAAGGAACAGAATGCTGTTTTATAGAATTACGTAAGAAATATAAATATATAAACGCATGAGTAAATTTTCTATTAGAATTTTTTTTAATAAAACAAGAAGAGAATAGAGCAAAAAATTTTTTTAGATTGTTATAACTTTCACAAGAACGAATATAGAAGGAAAATTATATATTCAGGAGACTATATTAAAAATAATTATAAATTTCGCATTAAGAATAAATATGTTAAAACGATACGAAGAACATTTAGCAGTTTGTTCTCATTTTAATATTAATTTAAAATTTATTTGTATATGATGAATTATTCTTATTTATATCGTAGATTGCATAACAGCTTTAATTTAATTATGCGAATGTTAAAATCT